TGAATGAGGGCGAGGAAGGGCGAGGGTAGAACGACAGCGGAGCGAGGTCGTTAGAACGGCAAGAGGTGCGGGTTTATATAGTCGTTGCGGTTTAGCTGGGGTCGGCGGCGCGGACCGCAAGCGCAAAAGGGACGGCCGGTTTCCGCATCGGGAAGGGCCGTTTCCCGCCCGGGCGGCCCTCAAAGGTGGATAACATTGAATATAATGATCATAAGATGGGGCTTTATCCTTCTGCACAATGATATTCAGATGATCAATTTGACACTCTTTTACAAAGGGGATATATGTATGTATGTATGTATAGGTTTAACGTCCCGGAGAAAACACGGATTTAAACTTGATAGTGATATCAATCAATTTCACTACCTTTTCTGTGAGATAGTTTGTTTGTGGTTTTTTTGAATTTTTATATTGATTTTTGATCTGACTGTTGATGATCAATCTGTAGTTTTTGTATGCCATTTAAGAGCTCTCATTTTTGCTTTTTTATAGATTCTATCTCTGCATTTAAAGTTTTAATATACTCAAGGGATTGAGCATGCTTCTGCAAAGTTTCCCTGCTTCAACAGTGTAATGAACCCTTCTTGTCATATGAGAAACAGGCTCAGAACATGAATTCAGAGAATCTCTTCTATTATTCATGTATACAGCTTTGAAAATACATCTTATAAAACACACATGATATTCTATATCCATCTTATCAATAAAGAAGAATAACAGAGGTTTCATCTGATTATATGACATTCTTCCAATTCTTCAAAATTTAATTTTTATATTTCAGACAAAATTGAAGTTGATTTAATTGCATCTTCTTAATGAGTTCTGACTTCTGCATAGACTTTGTTTTTTGAAGGCCTGCTTTGCAAAGCATCCTTCATATAGTCATAGAAGATATCTCAATTCCTTCATTACTGAATTCATTGACAAGATCAGTACAGCTCCTTTCTCATCCATAGTGATCACATTGAATCTTTACAAGAATAGCATTTTTAATGCTATCATTTCCCTGAATTGGTCGGCCGGATTTGGAGGCATCTCTAAGCCATTCATCGCGAAGTATAATATAAGGCAGTTCAGAGTTAAATCCACATTCAATTGCATGTTTATATATACAATTGATTTGACTCTTTGAAATCTGGGTGATTTCTGTGATTTCAGCATTTGACTTGCCAAAATAAAGTGATTTAAAAGCCACCACAAAAGCTCTTGTGGCAATATCGGTATTGAATGCCATATATTTTAACAGTCATGAATTGTCAGATGGGATATCAAAGATGAGAAAATAGAGAAGAAAGAGGAATCCATTTTTAATGCATAACAATCTCATATAAATAGAATGCGGGGTGATTTGAAGCTAAATGTAATTACTCATTAAGACATGGTGGCGCTTCTTAGCGGTATAAATGGAATCTGAGCGGCGCAATTCTTTTGATAGCGCCCTCCGTAATACTTGGGAATTTGTCGAGGAATTGGAGGCTAAATGCTTCCTCCAGATAGTTTGGAAGTTATAGATGGGTCAGATTAAGAAAAGAAGTTGAAAGAGAAAATAAAAAAAGAAAGGATTTTATAATCAAATTATTATTATAAATGAAAGACAAAAGTGAAAATACTTTATATATGAAAGAGAAAAGAGAGAATGTTCACTCTATTCTTGTGGATTCTGTTGAAACAGCCTGCATACATGAAATAAATACTCAAGATTAAAAAATATACAATATAGTTAATATATATAATATATATAGATTATTTTCTTACTCTTTTGAGAAAGATAAATAGTTTGTTCAGACTCATTTTTAACTATATATACATCAATCTTTAAAATGAATCTTGATTTCATTGTATGATAACAGCTAAACATTTCATTGGTAATCATCTTTTATTAAAAAAAAAATATATATTCATTATTCTTCTTTCTTCAGTTAGATCTATATAATGATTTCAGATGCTATATAAAAAGTTATTCATTTAATTTTTAATTTTTAATTTTTTCAAAAATCATTGATTGATTAAATTATATAAAAGAGTTGATATATTTGAATATCATTTTCAATTGATAATGTTATAATAAAAATGATAACAGCAGCAGCAATAATTGATAAAGAGAAAATAAATGAAAATACAGATGTAGATTATTATATTATTATTATTCTTTCATTATACTTGTATGCAAGCAATGCTTATAATGAGTCCTTGTGTAATGTTAAATACAGGCAAGAGTTGGTTATACAGAAGGAATGCTTAATGTTGAATAATGTTAAAAATATAACAAATATATAGAAAATTAATGAAAGACAGAATTTGATACTTGTGATACAGATTTTCAACTCAGAAATAATAAGTTAAATCAGATAATCAATTTATCTGAAAATATTTAC